AAAAAAAAAAAATTGGCCCTCAGAGTGGAGTTACATAAGCTCTTTAATTCATCATAAATCTCTAGCTTGGCCGCTGCCTCGGTTTTTCTTATTCCGCCCTTCATTCTCTATCCCCTCACATTCCCATTGTCACGAGCACCCACTCTAATGGGTTCAATATGTGTTTTTAGACATTCCCATTCCTAAAATATATAGAATCATATACTTTCTATTTGCATAAAGGGTATTAAGGCATAGATCTCGTGTTTCTTCTCACAACACTGCTTGCACCTCATTCATATGGTTCTTTGTGTTCATTAGGGCAGCATCTAGATGCTGTATAACTCTGGAAAGTTCTGTTACATAGATATTGATGTTCTACTTCTATCCTTCATAATTTTAACTGCCTCCCCTTTCTTTATCCCTTCCTAATAACCTGATCTTCTAGTTCACTGATTCTTCTACCGAACTCCTGCTATTCAGCCCTCCTGCCAAGTTCTTTACTTGGGCTATTTCCATTTTTCATGCCCAATCCCTCACATTGATTTTCTTATAACTATTTGTTTCTGCTTCATCAGTCTAATGTCCTTCCTTATATCTTAAGGTATACTATATTCCTATATTAAATTTTGGGTTTGTCCAATATGTTAATCCTGCTTCTTCTGATTTAGGTATTTTAGTGTGTTGTTGGTGCTCACCAGATGGTTTTTTTTCCTTGTGAATTCATATCCCTTTGGGATATCAGCAGCTTTGTCTGGTAAGGCCTGGGGGTTGTGAAAGCCAGGGCTCTAACTTGTCTCTTTCTAGATGAGCGGGTGGGGGGCGGGTGACCCTGAGTGCAGAGAGCTTTTGTTCTTAAAATTAGGGCTGATCCACCCCGGTTTGCCCCTTTACCCCAGGCACATACAAAGGAGGGGACCCCCTTGCAGGATCTTCCACTGATTAGGCTCTGAACCCTGCTTTGTTCCAAGACCCATTTTCTTGGGTTGTATTCTATCCAGCTCACACGGTGGAGCGTTGGAGAGGCTATACTGAGGAAAAGATCAGTTGCTTACTTCTCATTTATGAGCTCCGCATGGGTCAGACTCCAGTGCTATCCTGATGTTTCTCCCCTCTGGCTAGTACTAGACGGGGCTACTATTTTTTATCCTGAAAAGGTACATTGACAAATAATGACGAGGTAGGTTGGGAGAGAAAGCATCCCATCCAGGAAGCCCTCCCCGGCTTATCTCCTGTCCTTTGGAAATCCAACCTCATTTGATTTCACATGGCCAGTGCCCTTGACACTGAGGCCCAACCACTGTTTGACTCCTCAAGCAAGGTTCTCTTATCTATAAACTGTGCTCTCATTTTGTTGGCCTTTACAGGAAGGACCAGCTACATAGTTTGTGGGAGCCAGTGCAAAATGAAAACGTAGAGGTTTTCTTGAAAAATGATTGAGATTTCAGTACAGCAATAGCAGAACATTAACACAAGCATGGGGCCCCTCTAAACACAGGGCCCTAAGTGATGGCATAGGTCATTGCCCATGAAACTGGTCCTATTTACAGTGTTAGGGTTTCTGGAAGGAGTTAGCAACCTTTGCTGGTGAGACATTTTCCTTAGCTCCCTTTACTGACCTCTTCCCACCTGCACTGGCAAGTTTTCTAAAAATAAAGGTTATGACGCTCTAATGGATTCCAGCTACCTGGCAGAAAAACAGGTTGAAATTCCTGCTGCGTCACTCACTCTACAATCTGGGCACACTTGACCTCTCTGAGCCTCACCTGTAAGGAGGAGCTGAGCTGGGAAGACTCAGTTAGCAAATAGTTGTGGAAATATCCACGTGTTAGTAGTGGCTCCAACAATGTTATCCTTTCCCATCCATGATGTAAACATTCACATAGTTTTCTTCTGTGGTTTTTCAACAAGTCTCATCCCTTGTTCTGAAAGAAGGGTTCCAATTTTATATATCGTTACACAGGGAGCAACATACTATGTTTTGGACTTTGATTTGAGTGTGGGTATGAGGAGACGAGGGAAGAGTGTTCCTTTCAAGTGAAATTTAACAAAGAAATAAGGCTTCGAGCTGGGGATTCATTAGTGAAACTCATATAAATACTCTAGCAACACAGGGAAAGTAGGTGTGTCTACTTCCGACGGCTAAATCGAACAGCAGAAACAGTACTGGATTGCTTGTTAGCCTACTCAGTAAGTGTTTTCTAAATAAACTTTGAAAATACCCCTATCATGTCTTACTGGAATGCATTCAAATAATAAATATGGCAACTTTCCTATCCCTTGATAAATGGGATACCTTTTTCAGTGTGTGTTAAAATAACTGAACTAAAGGATTTTTTAATACAACTTTTGACTATCAGTAATTGTATTGAATTATACTTTCTCTACTAAATATGAAAAATTATTTTCCTTTCACATGTGTAATAAAGACATCACAGACATGGATGGTTATAAACCACCCTTTGGTTAAAAACCTTAAATACTCTTGGATTTTATCATATATCAATTTGATGCCCCAAGGCTTCAATTCAAGCTTTGGAGCTCAGGTTTGGTTGCAGGATGTATTAAAGTAGTACGTAAACACGTTCTTCTTATCTCATTTGAGGAGGCATTATTCCATTTTCCACACATCAGAAATAATGTTCCTATAAGAACTGCCTTCAGGAACCAACCTGTGTTGGATGGGAAGCTTTTTCTCTTCCAATTTGGATCCAGCGGATTGGAGCCTGCAAATTAACTGGCAGTAGACAGAATAACAGGAGTAAAGACAANACTAACCTAGCTTTCTCCTTGGCCATCTGCATCAAACATTTCTCCATGTTATAGGAGTTCAGAGAAATCCTGAGCTTCTTGTAGGCAAGACAACCTAGGCTGGAGAGAGACTTAGTAAAATGCTTGGGCAATGCCCACCTCTTTGAATGGGCAACCAGGATTAACTTTTTTAGGTTTAAGCAATTCCTCCTGATGCCCAGGGCTGTAAGACTTTAGGTTACCCAAGGATGGCAGCAGGGCACAGTGGAAAGAGCATGGGCTTTGGATTAACGTAGGCTTGGGAACAAATCCTCGTTCTGCCACTTACTGTATGGTGCTGGATAAGCTGCTTAACCTCTCCTCATCTCTACAATGATGATATCATCCTTGTTATAGAGCTGTTGAGAGAAGTAGAGATGATGCCCTAAAAGCATCTCGGAAACTGTCTAGCTGCTCTAGCATGTAGTGAGCTCTGAGGAATTAGTAGTGACGATGTGATCATGCAGATAACGCTGCCTAGGATTTGAGAGTAAAACTCCATGTCTCTTTTCGTTAATTTGGATAAGGAATCTGCATCCAGGGACCCCATGTCATCAGTTCAGTGTCAACTTATGTCATCATTCTAGAATGTACTGCTTCTTTCGAGTCCTTTGCTATTTGTTGTTATAATACCGTATAAGGCATGTATTGTAAATCAAGCCTAAATGAACATGTCATGCCCTTAGCCATTTATAATGTCAACAGAATTTTAAGAACTTCTTCATTTATTTTCAGAATACAGATTTCCAGCAATTGCAGCAAATGATGTTTTTACATTTTTTTATAGTGGAAATAGAATTCTATATATGCTGTTTAATATATTCATGTGGATCATGTAACTATACTCAAATTCATATTCTTATCCAGGAAAGAAGATTTATATTCTAAAAGCATGCATGATTTATAGACTACGTGGGGATCTATTGTGGTTCTTCTTTGTTAGGAGATTTTGAATTATTTTCTTCATGCCATGTAATCTGAATTAATATATTGTTTTCATGTTTTTCAAGGATTATTTTCTTTTTTCTCTTAAGCATGTAGAGGTTGAATGGAGAAAAAAAGGGGAATTGAAGTAGCTTAAGTTTTGAAAGGTTAAGGAAATATTTCTGCATTTTTATTCACTTATTCTAATCATTTGAAATTTGATCTCTTTTTGTTGCTTCTTACCTAGGTTACTTGTTGGTTTCAGACAACCATAAAAGATTTACGGGAACAAAGCCTAGGTTCCTCACTTTCAGACAATGAGGAGCTAATCCGTAAGCATGAGGAACTGAAAATAAAAGCAAAGGTAAGAGACACATTAAAAACTAATTGAAAAATGCATGGACTTCTCTTGAATATGCTTCTATAGGTAATTTAGAGTACCAAAGTCTCCCTTTGGAGAACCCACTATTTACATAGAAAAGATTATGATAGCATTAGCTAATACCACTAACCACTGATTGTGCTTCTAGAAAAATAACGAACAAAACAACAGCTTCTACAACAATAAGAGCTATTTTTTTAATAGATAGTGTATTAAGTATGAGAGATGCATTATCTAATTTATTATAAAACCTCTAAGGAGTAGGTATTATTTTCCTCATTTTACAGATCAAAAAAACAAACTAAAAACAGGCTTAGAGATACAGGTAGCTTTACCAATGTAATATCTCTTGTCAGTGGCAGAGGTGGAATTTGATTACAGGTTTTACCTAACTCCCAGGCCCAAGCTCTTAAACACTATACTCTGCTAGCTTTCTAATAAACGTTTTTCTTCCCTGAGGTCTCATCATGCTACCACCTTTGTGATTTCCAGGTATAATTTACTTAACTATTTCCATTTATATTTCCCTAGTTCCTTAACTTGATTCACATTTGTTAGTTCTGCAAAAAGTAATGGCTACCAGCCAGGCAACCACTTGTAGGTGTGTGAATGTGTAAAATGGAACCATGAAGCGCTAAAAGTAATAGGAACAGAGCAGCTATGCAGTGGTGCCGCTCTCGCCTTCTGTCTTGTTATTTGTTAAACAATTTATTTGTACATGTGAGTTTATAAATACCTTCCAACTTAGCTGGCATTCAAAGTATAGATAGGTATTCAAAGTATTGGCTTTGATTATTTGCCTGACAGATAAAAGATAAAAGTTGCAAAGGCTGCTGTGACTAATGATTTTTAAAATTGTTTAGAATTTTTCAACATTTTGGTTTATCTGCTTAGGATAATTTTTCATTGAACTTATACAACAATTTATTCTGTGCATATCACACTTAAATTTTATCAGTGAAAATCCTATCGAAATCCTCAAATACTGAGCACAAGAGATGACCCAAATTGCATAGGATGGTTGCTTCCTTTAAAACAAACAAACCAAAATGATATATTCACTTAATTTAGACATACTTTGGGCTTATATTCACTGTAACTGGAGGCTTGCGGTTTCTCACAGCCCTGAGGACAGTTTGGAGTAGAATATTTGTTAACATATGACTTCGGTTCTAGTAGGGCACAGTTTCTATCATTGTTCACATTTCTAGCTCCAATGTACATAAAAGAAAAACATAGATATTCTTTCCATCATTATCCTTGTGTTGCAGGCATAATGGGTTTAAGAAGTAAATTTTTAATAATATGTATATATTATTATATTAAGTACATTATAGAAAATTACTAAACTATAAGGAAAATAAAAGTGAATCCTTCAGCCCAATGATAACCATTATTAAGATAACCATTATTATTTTTGTGCATTCTCTTTTGATCTTTCCATACGCAACCCTGGAAACACATAGCATTAGAGTTATGCTTTCTTTCATGTATAACTTTATCAGAAATATTTTTCTGTGTAATCTAATATCCTTTAGCTATAAAATACTTCATTATACGGATTAACTCATATGGCAGGATTATACATTTTGGTTATAAGTAGAAGCTAAATCATATGAATATCCAAGCAAATATTATAAAAAAAAGGGTACAAATTCCTGTTAACACCATTATGTTCCAGACAAGTCGACTGCTTCCTTTCGGGTGCTGAACTACCCAGGAACCAGTTACAGGCCTCCTGGGAAGCTTATTAGTAAGTGGTACTTAAATAAGTGGTTTTTGAGCTGAACTGGTTTGGGGAGCTGAGGTAGAGATAACTATTTCTCTATGTCATCTTTGAGAATACATCTATTTTCTAAAAAAATAGGTATTCATTTGCTTTGCTGGGAGTTCCCATTTTAGTACATACCTTGAAGCATTCTTTATGGTATAAGGTTTTCCAACCAAACTATTGGCTAGTTTATGGAACCACAATCTCAATACAGTCATTAAAGTTTACCAAAACATTGGTAACTATTTAGATTGGGTCAACCAAATAGAGATGGATACTCAAACACAACTTGTAGATAAAAACGTTTAAGACACTTGCCATCGATTTGGGTCACTAGATACTCCAATGACAAGATACCTGGTTATTCAAGGCAGCAAGAGTCACTGAATCATATGGGTTGAGAGAGACTCCATTGGTGTCAATGCAGAGGATGGGGTAGCACTCTGGTCTGGGGTGATCCAGGGTGGCTTTCCAGAAGAATGGGGTGTAAGCAGTTGGTTAGGAGACGGTGGTTGTTCCAGAATAAGGCAGAATAAGACAAAATAATGATCAGATCAGTTTGTTTAAGACAAGAATTAAAGGCCCTAGTAATGTTTAACTGAGAGAAGAGAGACTAAGGGGAGCTGCCTCAGAGATAATACTTATTCCACAGCCATTCTGTAGGAAAGACATGGTCATTAGAGGGAAGGAAACTTCCACAGGTTGGGAAATAGAAGAGATTCCTGGGGCTGTGGAAGGTGGGCCTCAGTGACTTCAAAGCTCCCTTTAACTTTTAGATCTCACAAAGATAGGGTATAGATTATAAAATCAGTTGTGCTTATTATATTTAAAGCAACATGAGTGTAAAAAAACACCTTTTCAGAGCTGGCCAAGGATGTTTAAGTCACATCTGTTTATTAAGCCCTTT